TGTCTCAAAACATGCTGGAAGGGATTTGGTAGCACACCTGGCTTGGCTAGTCAGTAACATATCAATATCTCAACACTTTACTGTCCACACATAGAGCCTTCCCCGTGAAAATTGGGTCATTGTGCCCATACCATTTCAGAATTTACAGGTTGCCCAAATAACAGCCAAGCTTTCACGTAATTCAAGTTACCCACAATCCTCTTCCAAGTATAAATCAATATATATATTCTCATATTTTTCACAAAAAAAACAAATTCAGGTTAACTTCATGAGTTTAACTCAAAAGAAATAAATCAACGAGAACCTTGTAAAAGTTATAAAGGAAACATATAGTATAAAAATTGTTTCAAAGCATGTGTTTTTGTTGCTTGAAAACGACCGTACCATTAAACAAAATACAGAAACCATATTCACAATTGTAAGAGGCATCATTAAAACAACTAAAACATTTTCTTATTCAAAAACCCCCTACCTCAACTCAATGAGGTGGTACTTCACTTCCAAATTTGTTCACCAACTTGCTCTGCAATAGCTACTATCTTCTTCTTCTTATCTATACAAAAATAATGATATTGTTCAAACTCTAGCTCAAAATCAAACATACTGCCACAAAACAGTTTTCTGAACATAAATTTTCTTTTTCTTCCTTTGGGCTTTTCCTCACACCACTTAGGCATCTCTTTGAGTACCAAGTTATTCACTGTGAAGCCCCAAGTCCTCTCCCAAGATTCCCAACATAAATTGAAAATTAAACGTCTCCCAATCTAATTAAGAGAAATACAAATACACAACTTTAATAAATCTTTACTTGTAGATAGAAGAAAAACACAAAGAGTCAAGAATTTAAAACTCAAAAGGACAAAAATAAGGAAAAGGAGACCATTGTCCAAAGGGTGTTCGGTTTTGATAAGAAAGACAGTTTAGAACCAACAAATTTGTACATGCATGGCTGGAAAAATAGTTTACAGAGGATATATATATAAACATTAGAAAGAGATTTCAGTTGCTTGATGAAGAAAATTCCAAAGATGGAGATCCTACCAACTGAAACAAGTCACTTCCAGCCTCACATGATGATCCAAACAATTAAAGAAACTGAGCTTCAGTTTTTTTTTTCTTTGGAAGTTACGAGGAGAATAGTTTGAAAAAAATGATGAAGTAATTGTGTTGAAGAAGAGATGAGAGTTGCAGAGAGAGACCGTAAGAATGGTACGTTTTTAAAGATAGAGAGCTTAGACAAAAGTTAAATACTTTATCTATATATATATAAAGAAAAAGGCAGAGAATGGTGAAACATTCAAAATACCAGAAAATGTCATTGGTTAATTCAAATATTAAGAATTAAAATTATTAATTAAATGAGGATAATATGGTAAATTTACAATTTAAAAAAATTAAAATTAAAACTAAAATCAGATATTGGATCCTACTTTTATGGCAAATAACTACCCATTTTTTTATTTTCTTAATTCTAAAAACTAAAAAAAGAAAATCAATTGGCACACGCGTGAGCGTGTGTCAAGGGGCTAGTTTAAATAAAAAAAATAAAAATATTGGGCTTGTTGTTTCTAGGACTTGGGTTCACTAATAGAAATAAAAATAACCTAACTACTTGCTAGCCCACTAATTTAAGGCCCTTTTCAAAGTAGCCCACAAGTACCCTTGCTTGAAAATTAATCAGAACCTAGGAAGAATAAACTTACGGTCTACAAATATATATAGTCCCCTTCTATTGAGGGATTCCTTAAATAATTTTATTTGAGGGTTTAGGGTTCAGGGTCTCCTACGAAAAAAAAAATTAACAATCTAAACCGTCTATTTTTCAATTCTCTAATGATATACCATCCTTGCAAAAAATAAAGCAAATTGAAAATTATTAAGACGTCTATTTGGACCAACAAAATACATGAATATGATTCTTCAAGAAAAGACTAATAAAAACCATCTAATTGAGTGGTCAAATGGTTTCGGATTCATGTAAATTTTTTATTCTTTTTGTTGCAGAGATGATTTTTTATGGAATATCTAAAAACTAAACGGTTCGGATCATTGAAATATAATGTTTACTACTATCCTTTCTTTCTTTCCGCCCTATTTACAATGGAGTACAAAAACAATAAGGTTTGGATTAGTGAAATACAATCCGAAGTGAGGCCTACAAGGGGTGTCCCTCAAATAATTATTTGAGGGATATATATATATATATATATGTGTGTATTTATTATATGTATTTATATATACACGTATATACATGCATATTATTATTAGAACATACTCATATATATTAAATATTATAATACAATCATCTTCTATTGAGGGATCCCTTAAATAATCTTATTTGATGGACACCCTTTTGAATATTTCGTCGCGCAAATATTTGCGTGACGTTAGGGTTTGTCAAGACTTCTTCTAGAAATCGTAATTTTTCTATCTATGGATTGCGCAACGAAATTGTACTTTGGACAACAAAAATTTTTCGTCGCGCAAAATGTTTTTTGTAGTAGTGAAGCCTCTATCTTCAATAAAAGTCAGTATTTTGTACTTAATTTATACTTACACATTTATACAATTTTTCGTATTTTGCTATTGTCTGCATTTTATAATTGTGTATTAATATAGTGATCCTATAATATAAGATATTTATTAATTTTTCATAACACTGTACACCTTGTGTTACCATTTAAAATGGTGAGAAAAAATATTTCCATTAGTAATATACACATTTAAAAGGCTTTTTGGGTAGTTACCATATTAACTATTTTCTATTTCATCCGTCTGCACTCTTCTTTTATGATTTTATTTGTTACCTTACTATATTTAGCAAATTTTTACTCTTTGGCTGGTCCACGTAGAACTAGAAATGGTACTAGTAATAGAAAGTTGGGTTCAGAAATCGTCCACGCTGAAAAGCCAATCTATCGCCATCTTATCATCCCCAACACCAAACACACTCCCAACACTCTCTCCCTCCCTTAACAACAAAAACAAAGTATCAAAGCACAAGTTAGGACACACGATATATCTCTCTGGTTCTAAACTTGCATCTAATGGCTTCCCTTTCTCTCCCTAAGCACACTTCCCTTCTGTGCTCCCCACTCAAACTCCTACACGCTAACCATCTTCTCAAACCCTCCAAATTGTCTCAAGTTCATCACATTCTCAATTTTATGGCCTCAAGCTCACCAATTCCTCCTCTTTGCCAATCCCATCTTCTTCTTCTTCTGGGAAGATGTTTATTTGGGCTAAGGTACATTGCTTAATTCACATTTTCTTATATGTTGAGTGTCTTGTGGGACATGGCTCCTTCTTTCTTTAATTGATTATGGACCTTACGATTGTGTGCTTTTTTACAGGTGGACAAGGGTAAGGTTCCACCATCCTTCACATTGAAAGATCAGGATGAAAAAACTGTCAGCCGCTCCAAATTCAAAGGAAAGCCTGTGGTTCTCTATTTTCTAATATGCTGATGAGACCCCAGGGTTCACCAAACAGGTTTAAAAATAATGACATCGTTGCATGTTCTAATTCTCCCATTAGTTTAGTGCTAGGGGAAGCCTGAGATGTTCCTTTCCTTACTTAGAAGCTTGGTTAATTGGGTACGACTAGGGGTGGGCATCTAAAACCGAAATACCGAAACTGTACCCTAACCGAACCGTACCATACCGATTTCATACCGTTTCATTCGGTACCAATCAATATTCGGTACCGTACCGTACCGTACCAATAGAGTATGGTATGGTAGCGGTATCAAGTATTTGGTACCGATCAATACCGTACCGTACCGAATACTATTCAGA